CCATATATGTTCAGCATTACAGTGCTAAACGAAGACTACTTGTTCGGCATTACAGTGCTGAGTGAGTCATTTTGATTCGGTTTTACAGTGCTGAACAAGAAGGATTTGTCCGGTTAGTCAGTGATGAACATAAAATTCATGTTTATTCATTAGTCTAGATTTGTTTATTCAGTGATGACCATAAAGCAATAAACAAACCAATATTTCAAACAAATAAACTATCAAACCAATTCAAACCATCAAACTAATTCCAAGCCATCAAACCAATTCAAACCATCAAACCAATTCTAAACCATCAAAATAATTCATTGAGTGCCCAAAAAGGTATGGTAAAGTCATATACAAGCCTAGCTTATACTTGTGTCATATACAAACCACCATCAAAATGTATGCAAAAAAATTTTCTTAGACAAACTAACATATACTAAAGTGTTATCTGACCTTTGTTATACTTGTGTCTAACACCATCAAAAAGTCTAACATATGTTTGAGACTAAGATTTCAAAATACACATTTAAAACATTTGAACCCAACAAATACTAAAGTCTAAGACTTTGCTCCACGATTCCTGCGACGAGTGTACACCAAGTTCTCTAATGGTGTATGTTCTTCAGTGGACTGTTAGCCCTCCAAGAATTGTGTTATCTTCTTCATAGCATTGCGTAACATATCTCGGGTGGGAGCTGCTTCATTGTATCCGATTTTGAGCATTGAACGTGAAATGCTTAAGGCACTGTCAATACACTGCAAACAATAAAATAAAACTTAACAATTGCCTTAAAATATATATGAAAATGAAAATGGTAAAAATTGACATACAAATTGAAGTTGACGATAATCAATTGATGTCTCAGTGCGTGGGTTATGCTTAGAACAATGTATCGGGTTTTGAACTTGCACGTGTGAAATGGAAGTAAACCAGTCTAAGTAACCTGGCATACAATCCCATAGATGCAAGACTAGAACACTACGAGCTATCTCAGACAACAAGTGATTTTTCCAACTCTTCCAAATCGTATCCAAGTATTTATAGGCAATAATGTACTGTTTTGTAGTGGATTCTCTAGAGGCTCGAACTGGAGCAAGCGGAGGTGAGGGAATAATGTGCACCTTACCAAACTGTCTTAGTACCCTATCTTGACGGTATGGTTCAACAATATGCATACATTTTAAGCATCCACTATAGTAAGAAACATAAAAAAAAAGGATGACCAATACGCTTATCATGTTATGGATCTCAAATAACCTATAATAGTAAAAATTTATATGTAAGCTATGAATTAGGTTGAATAATAACAAGTAATATGTACATACATTGACACAAGATTGACACTTAGGCCATGGGCCTCTAATCTGTCGAGGTCCTCTCGCAACCTTTGTAAAATAGACATTGACGAACCAGATTGGGTGCGAGAAATCCAACGAAAGACACGAGGCTGATCTTCTTTATAGTCCAAATTGGGGTGGGGTCTAGCACCAACAAAATGCTCGTAAATCCAAGCTTCCAGCAATGTCATGTATCCCGCCATCTGTTTCACGGCATACCTTGTGGCAGTACCCAATTGCCGATATAAAAAAGCCAATGTGGCTGCACGCCAAGCATAAGAAGCAACCGATCGCAAATCCATAAGAAAAGACAAATACACTACCGGAACACATGTGCCAGTCTTGTCTGCAAATAAGGTACAACCTAACAAATATAACAAATATGCCCTAGCTGTACACTCAATGGTATTATCATTGTCCGTATCAAACACTGACCCAAACCGTTGTCTCAACTATTCTACCTTGATAGACTGGCCCCATGCTACCTTCAACGCTACATTTGCCTCATCTATTTTACTCCCAAAGTCTCAACTAGCAGATTTACAGCGTCAACATTTGATAACTTCTTGCAAGAGACTGATTTACCAATCACTAGAATCCCTAGAATTACACTAACGTCATCTAAGGTTGATGACATCTCACCAAATGGTAGATGAAACGTGTTTGTCTTTGCCTGCCATCTTTCCACAAAGGCCGAAACTACAACTTTGTTTACAAATTTATATTGGCAACTCACTAAAGACATCAACCCCGAATCCATAATTAAACCATGAAATTTGGACTATTCATTCTCTTCCAAGTTGAATGACCATTCACCAACTTTAAAGCCATGATTTAAGCATTTAACTATTCCACGTTCCTGCAACATAGAATAAAAAAAAAAGAATTAGTAAAGTTGAAACAAAATTTAAAACATTAAATTAATGTAAGACAATGACTTACATCATTATGCCAAATTTTTACTGCTACGTGACAATGAAAACTCTTCAAAATTGAAGGATCATATGGCCCTCCAGGAAAAGGTCCAGTAAGATTTTCATTAACTTTTTCAGTTGTATCTGCTGGTTGGTCTTCATAGTCACCCATGTCTGTTGGTTCATCACCCGGATCATCACCTATGTCTGTGGGTTAATCACCCATATCTATTGGTTCATCGCCCATGTCATTCACATTTAATTGATTGCCCCCATCGTTTTCAACCTCAACTGTTTTTGCTAGAGCAACACCTATGTCATTCATGTCATGTTCATTAACTCCACTACCTTGATCCATAGTCTTACGAGTGCGTCGAGGTCTCTTAACCACTTTTTGAGAAAGTACAACATTACGTCTCCTAGACGTTGTTGGGCGATCTCGAGCAGTTTACACCATAGCTGTCCACTTAGTACAATTAGATGTTAGTCAATGACAGTGTAAGCAAATATATCCAATGTTAATTACCCTTAATAATATAGTCAGTCCATCCTATGTATCGAAAATGCATGTCATCTAGGGACATTATATATATAACTTATAAGCTATTGAAGCCTATCTTAAATAGGTGTGTCATAACCAATGAAGCAAAAAAACATGCATGGTCAGAAGTATATATACATGTATTTTTATGTATGTAGATAGCAATTAGAGATAGCTTTAGAAAAGACACAAATTCAAATAGGAAACAACAAACTAAGATAGTTTCTTGCCAAACACAATGAATAAACGATAAAACGAAATTACTAAAAATAAGATATTTGAGTTGGACCAAAATTTGAGAATTGTAATGCGTTAGAAGCATGCCAAGAGCAAGGCCATTAAAAACAAAAAATCCTAAATAAAATTATAGACAAAAACAAAGCTTTCCCAAAAAAAGTGCAAAAATTTGAGAGCCTAAATAATGGAATTTGCTATTAAAAACAAAAAAGGCTTAGTACATAGCAAAAGTTGTGTGTTTTGCTTCTTAGGACATTTCGGATTGATTATAAGTACTTAAAGAAAATTCAACATTGGCCCAAAGCCTATAGTTGCAATATAATCACATGCATCTCCAAGTTGATATAATGTGCTAAAATTAGCACTATTTTCAAACAGCCCACCTACCTCTTGTTAGGTTTATGATGTGTATTGTGCTAATCAGAGTTAGTTTATGTGGAAGACAACTAGTACAAGTGTTGTGTGATTTTGTGGCTATAAGTTGATGTATGAAAATACATGGAAAAGAAGTTGAAAATGTGAATTAAATAATCTGGCTGGTTGCTGCCCCTTTCCCTGTTTTTCTTTTTGCAAAAAATTCAGATATAAGTTTTTTATGTTAAAGAAAATTCAGATGTAATAGAAGTCAAAATTTTCATTTTCTTACTTCTTAGCCACCAAACAAATATAAACTTGGAATTTATAGGGTACAATATTACATAAGAAATAACATAACTTTTTCGGCTCAAATATGGTACAATATTACAGAGTCAAGTGCCCTTTTCTTTGTTGACAATTTCTGGTTTGTCATTTACAACACACAATGTATAACAAAACTAACTAACCTCACTACTAGTTAATGTTTAAGTAATAAAAGTAACACACACACACACACACGAAAAAAAAAAAATACAAAACAAAGCAAAACAAAATAAAATTATGAAAATAATGTACCTCTAAAGATTATTATAGAAAACAAAGGCAAAACCAATGGCAATAGCAATGCCTTACAACAACAGAAAAGGGACAATTTTATACTATATGTACAGTAGAGATATAAAAACCTCACACTGCAACTGGTCCTAACACTCCAAGACAAAGGATCAGCCAAACAAATTTTTTAAAAGACAAAGGGTACTAATCAATGTGTTTGGTTTGAGTTTTCTGGATTATGTTTTTTGAAAACTAAATTTTTTGGTTTTCGTGTTTTTTTGTTTTTAGTGAATATTTTTAAAATTTTAAACATTTTTTTTACTTTTTTAGATGCACCTTACTTAGATGTATCTAAAAAGTAAAAAATATGTGAAAAAATATTTTAAAAAATTAATAAATACATAGAAATACAAAAAATGTACTGAATTCTTTTTTTTTTTTTGTATTTTTGATATTTAGTGAATTTTTAAAAGATTTTGGATGGTTTGATCAATTATATTAACTTAATATTATAATCGATGTAATAAAAAAAGGGGCATTTACATACAAGTCCCATTTTGTGAACTTATACTCCATTAAGTCCTAAATAAAATTATTTGCTCCTTCAACCACTACCACCTCACCTACTCCACTAAACCTAACCCACTACACCACTACCACCTCCACTTCACCTACTACACCTATATCTCCTATATAAGGAGCCTCTCACATTTGTACTAAATATATCAACATAATATCAATCAATAATAATACATACAATTTATTCTCTCTCTTTCTCTATACATTATTTCTTACAATAATCATAAAGTCTAACACTTGGGACACACACTCAATTGTACATTAGTTTATCTAACATGCCACAAAGACAAGTTGACTCAGGTCTATGACATGCTACCCTAAGCTAATTAACATACTAATTAGAATCACAAGAAGCTCAAACTCGGATCAACATATAACAAAGTCAACTTCAACCTCTACCCAAAATCTAGAAAGCCAAACTTTAACATCCCAAGAATCAGTACGACTCAACTTATTTGCATTACACAACACTTTAAAATTATACAACATACCATTAAGTAACATGTCTTTTAACTGCAGCATCTCTGCATGAGCTTGAGCTGATTCAGTTTTAATTTGAGAAACAATAGCTTCATGCTCAGAAATCGAAAGAGGAGCACCATTTTTTGCAATGATAGCTTTGGCCACCTCATTCTGCATCTTGTTCCTCAACTGTTTCTCCTGTACAGAGCAGCAATTTAAAAAAATAAAAAATAAAATTCAAAAGAACATCACTCTATGCCCCAAGGTCCAAAGGCCCAAAAAAAATGTCCATGATGGTTGTTACCTTATGTTTTGCAGCAAGAACTCTTTCTTTTGCTTCCTTCTGCTTCTCAACAAATTTTGAGTTCTGATCATCTATCCAACTTCTCATTTTTCTGCACAAAAAATCAAAATTATTTTCCCATAATTTGCTGCATTGTAAGAGAAAAGTTCAGATGACTTGAAAAAAAGAAGTGCAAAACCTTATACTTACGCAGTGCAAAGAACTTCATCACATAGAAAAGTTAAGAGTCTAAGCCTTTTTGAGGAGTCTAAACTATCATAATCATTAGCTTCCCAGCCAAACCCATCCAACTTCAATTTTTCCAATACACACTGGGATCTTAGGGCATAATTCTGTAGAGCATGTAGCCATGAATTTTTGCCACCTTTTGAAGTTATCACTGGAGAGCTAAACAAAAAACAAAACAGATATCAGTACATTTACCCCACTATAAGGGATTTGATTAGCTACAAAGGTCTATTGCCAATGTTCATACTCTTCTCCCAAGTCCTTCTGTATCATTGACAGCAACTGGATATGAAACTGGACAATTGGAGAATATTTTCCTCGCCGCCCACGTCCCCCACGAATTAATTCTCGAAGTACATATTCAGGCTCCCCTTCTTTCAAATCAAGAATCTACCCAAAGGAGAATGAGAATTGGAAAAAGTGAGAAAAATATTTGATGTGCTACTAAAATCTTGGTTTTATTGCTAGTCTAGAAAGGCAACATCATTAAAAGGGTACTACAAGGCAACAAAAAAACCAAAATATTTAAGCAATAATAAATGGCAGCAGATGTTTATAGTCATTGTTCCTCAAGAACACATTAGTAAAACATCAATGAATATATGAAAGTACAAAGAATAATTGACACTACTCTTGATCAGTACTATTTGAGAACGGCTCAGACAGTAAATATCAAAGGAAATACAGTGCATATTAGACATCAAACTAAATGAAATTTGTTCTTTGTCAACTCAACTAGGAACAAGAAATGTTCTCTAACATATTAGTTCTTACGACTTAATAAGCTCAAACACCGATAAGGACACAGTATACAACAATTTAAAAAATAAAAAAAAATAATAATAAAGATACAAACACAATGGGAATACGGGAATTAGTAGCTGATTTATCTCCACAAACAATAAAAAATAATAATAAATTAAAACTAATTCAATATAAGAAAACCACTTGATCTATAATTTAAACTTCATTCAACACAAAAAGCACTATTTCATCAATCATAAACCTCTATAAATTACAAATGTCAAAAGAATTTAAGTTCAACAATGAAATAGATCATCATCTATATATAAAAAAAATAAATTAAATTCCCACTATTTTATTTAAGTAATAAATAATATCATGCTATCATTTACCAAAAGTCCGCACTAAAAATTCCACATAATTAGCGTAAATCAAAGATAAGAGGGACAACTGGTTTCTTTTAAGAAGATATGCTCTCTACCTCTGTCAAGTCAATACTAGGGCACATATTGGAGACATTGAAAATCCAACATCTTCGGCAACAATTTTTTTTGTCCAATTTCCACCTTTTTTTCAAATATTTTGTTTGACATCCAACCCACCTTTGTAGAATTGTAATAAAACCCAAATGTGTCCTATGGCATGTTTGGATGCAAGGCATGTCTTTGACTTGTCCCCAAATATGTTCAATGAAATAAAAACATAAATTTCAAAAAAACAAACAAATGTCGATGGCATGTCTGTATCCGACACAGCAATATACCACTATTCAACAACTACTAATATTTGGGCGGCAGAAATGCCTACAAAACATTATACTGCAAGTAATATCAACAGATGCTAAGTTGCATTTATTCTCCCATCATAAAAAGAATTAAAGTTCACTTGCCTCCTCAAAAGCAGCACAGAATTCAAAGAATTGCAAGGCATGGCCAACATCTTCTGGTGGTAAGTCAAGGCCAGCTACAGTTGTCAGCTCAGTGCCCAGAGGCAATGAAATGTCAGCATCAATATCTTTATTTTGGACCTTCACAGCATTTGTTTGAACTCTGCAAGAATCCACAACTATCGTGGGCTGTGCTCCATCTTTATCAAGCTTCTGGACGTCCAACAATTCTGCATCTTTGTGGACTTTGCTATCCCTTTGTGTTTCACTTTCACATCCAATTAGATTGGATGAAATTCCCTTAGAAGCCCTTGTATTCAGATTATTTTTCTCTTCTAGAACACTTTCAAAATTCCTACTAGTTTTCAACTCTTTCTTGAAAACACCATTGGAAACTTGGGGGTTTATCTCCTCATCAATCTGAGGCTTTCTGGGGCTGCTCTCCTTCAACAAAACCCTATTGTCCTGGTTGCCATCTCGCATCTCCTTTAACCCTTCATGCTTCATTTTCTTTTGTTTTTTCTCATTGGGGCTTGGTGCCAAATGTAGAGGACGTAAATTTGAATCATTGTAAACTCTAAAAGAATTTTCCTTTCCCCGCTTTGTAGGCAAAGCAACAGAAGTTTCCTGTTTAAACAAATTGGTATGAAAACATCAACAGACACATGCCAACAATAATACATTCTAGAAATATAAATGCTGCATGCTGTTGGCAGAAAAGAATTAACGTACAGTGCTTGAAGCAGCAGCCTTTCTTGGACTAACATCCACAGCTTTTACAATCTTGTCAATACCAAAATTTTCAGGGCCTTTAACATTCAGCAGCTCTGAAACAGAGGAAAAACCAGTTGCCTTGGCTGTGTGCACAAGTATGCCAGTAGGTCGGTGTCCTCGTTTCTTCCTGAAAAGATCAAATTTTATTTCAAAACACTTGTAAGCCGGTCAACAGTAGAAAAATTCACAAAACAAACACTTACATGCAGAAACTGCAATTGCAGATGCCTCTGCACTTTGGACAATTCCAGTCCTCCAAACCTGCCATTTCTTCTGCCTTTTCTCCATATCTGATGGAAAACGAATTTAATTGATTGTATAGAATACTACACAAAATAGAGATATAATATAGTCAAGCACATCACTATATTGAACCTGTTCAAAAGGCATTTGTGGCAAAACTTGATTGTACATGGTTTGTCCATTTTCAGATTCTTGCAGGAAGCTGTAAAATCCATGGTTTTTTGACGGCACTGCAAAAATGATTTAGTTCAATTAAAATTAAAATAAAATATGAGATCCTATATAATTCAAATTAAAAATGATTTGGGTAAAATCACTCAAAACAATCTCCACTCATTGACCCAAAATTATACAAAATTGAGTTTTATTGAAATTTTTACCCAAATCAAGGAGACTCAAATGTTTACGCAAAAATTTCAATACTATTTTATGGCTCTCAAATTTACCACTTTACCATTGGTGAAGCTTTTTCTCAAATTTATGCTTAAATCTGATTTTGTACATTGGACTGGTTCATGTCAAATAAAGATTTTAGTCAATGTTTGATTCAAATTTGAGTAAAAGAAGAAAAAGAGAGAGAATATGCTCAAAGGTAGGAAAATTTCTATGAAACCTACACAATTCCAAATCTGATCTTGACGTACAACGAAAACAAAGTTCAAAATCATAAAACAACTGTTAGCTGATGTAAATCCTTTGTTTTAAACCAATTACAATAGCGAAAAAGTATATATACATGTGTGTGTGTGTGTGTGTGAGAGAGGGAGAGAGTATTCCTTCGATTTCCTAGGAATTTTCCCATTTAACTAACAGAAAACGAAGGTTTCGTCAGTCGAGATCTTAATGTACAACAGAAAACAAGTTCAAATCATAAAATCAACTGTTAACTGACGTAAAATCCTTCGTTTTAAACCAATTATTACGACGGCAATAACGTATTTATGTGTGAGAAGTATTCTAAGTTCCTCGGATTTCCTTTGGTGTTTCCCGTGAAACAAACAGAAAGAAGAAAAAAAAATAAGGGTTGAGACAGAACACCTGATGGCAAGTCTTTCCATTCTGAGAATCGTAGATTCGACCGCCGACGAGACGAACACCTGGACACTTGGTGCGCTTCGCAGGCAAATCACAACCATTATCAGATTGTTTCCGAGACTTGTCTTCCTTGCTCTTCTTGCCATTATTATTCTGATGATCAGCCGAGTTCAGCTTCTGTTTGGAAGCAGAACTTGAAGTAACCACCGCCATTTGTGGAAAACTCTTTTACTACTCTTCCTTTGTTGGCTTTGATAGTTGTTGCAACTTGCAAGGACACACACACACAAATAACAGATGGAGTTTTTCTTTCGTGTCTATTTCTTGTTTTCTGGGTGTACGTATGGCGGGAGATTACGAAATTCAAAAATGAGAGAGAATTGGGAATTTGGAGAGATTGGAGTGGCGCCAAGTGGAATTGGCGTTTTCTTTTCGATTTTTCCTGCTAGTTCGTGGCCCAAAAGAGAGGTGGGTGGGCGGGATTTTTTGAAACCAGTCCGTCATACATCTGAGTACACAAGTATATGCCTAAAATTTTCAATTAATCTTTAATTATTTTTATAAAAAGTACCCTAATTGTTAACATGATTTTCATCTGTTTGATAGGGGGATTTAGAAATAAAAAATATGTGTGAAACTAGATGAAATATAGATATATTTTATTCACGTTTCACCTATCCTTTTTATTTCTTTTTTCAAATCTCGCATCAAATTTTTCAACCAAATACAGTACTAATATATATAGGAAAGTCATGCGACTGACACACAAAACTAACAACAAAATTACAATCAATCTCAAATGAAAATATTAAAAAAATATTATGTTATATGATAAAAAATAATAAAAATTGAATTCAATCTTGTTTGTTAAGGGCTCAGTATCTTCGCCAAAATGACTCATGCCTCATTTAGGAATAAATTATTTTAATAATTTTTCAATGTTTTATAAAAAAAATTATATGTAAAAAAATAAAAAATAATATAATAATCTATAATTACTTTTTAATTAAAACATGTAACTTAAAAACAAAACGTCAAATAAACAAAAAAGATGACATCAAGTTTGCATAACCTTTATGCCACACTAGTGCTCCAATGATAATTACAAATATCAAGAGTGTGAAAGGATGGTAATAAAGTTTTTTTTTTATAAAAAAACTACTGTACAAAATTTCAACTCAAATTGTCTCCCTCGCTCTCTCGGTGAGCAGCTCCTTCACTCTTTTTCTGTCTCTCTCCCCGTTATGGCCACGTTTATTTAGGTCAAGTTTGACCATTCTAAAATAATTCATATTTTTATCTTTTTTTCATCACATTACTTCTTTATTCTTTTACACATCTTTTTGTAAAAAGATAAAAAATACACTTATTTAGGTCATTCCAAACAACCCCTTAATAAATTAGATTGGAGAAGATTGTTAATGAAGAGATTATTGATGTAAAAATTATTAGTGAAAAAATTAAGTAAAAATATTTTTATTTTGATAATAGTGTGGGAGATGATTAATGATGAGATTATTAAAATATTTTTAATAAAATAAATTTAAAAATTATTTCTATATTAAAAAAATTAAAATAAACATTAAAACAAAAGGTACTGATTCGTAAAAATATATATATATATATATATATAATTGCACTATACCAAATGTCCATGCAAACAACCGAACAGATTGAAGTCGCTTGCTATTTTCTTAATCCCACTTGTTTCCCAGAAAAGCTAATTCCCTTACTGAAAGGGATTACTAAGCCGCTCAGACTGCGAAGCCAATCCTCCTAAACAACACCGAACATGCTATGGGTGGGACTCATAACAATCCTATTCCAGACCGACTGCTGAAGTGGCCAAACAAACGAGGCCTATGTTTATACAATATGTCCCATTATATTTATGTTAATATATGTTGTCCAAAGAATGATTCATGTATAGGGTAAACCCATTAAGCCGCTCAGACTGTGAAGCCAACCTCTAAAACAACACCAACACATGCTATGGGTGGGACCCACAGCAATCCTATTCTAGACTGGCTGCTGAAGTGGCCAAACAAATGAGTTTTATGTTTATACGATATGTCTCATTATATTTATGTTAATATATGTTGTCCAAAGAATGATTCATGTATAGGGTAAGCCCATTACTATTGTATTTTACTGATGAAGAACAACAATAAAACCCGAAAGTCTACAATACATATCAACATTTTCACAACCTGATGAAAGACTTGCTAACAACTAGAAACCATAAAGAATCAAAGCTTTGTCATGTACTGACTCATTAGGAATGCAAGTTCTACACCAAGCACTTTGTAAGTGCATTAGTTTGTGAGCGACGAGGCAGACAAGATGGATCCATATTACATCTTTTGGGTTGGTCATTAGGCATAAATCACGGGATATGCAATACCACTCATGGAGCCGACTTCTCGAGAGAATGACAAGCATCCAGTCTGCGACAAGTGGTATCAGATAGGGATGGCAATCTGAAACCGGCCCGATGGGGACTCGACCCCCCAATCTCGAATATAACGGTTATTCCCCGAAAAATACCCCGATGGGCCGGGGATGGTGATAAAAAATAAATCCCCGATGATTTTCGGGCCGGGGACGGGGATACATATTTCAGTCCTGGCCCCGGCCCCGAGCCCCGGCCCGTTTGTCCCCTGGATGATATATGCATTATATATATACTTTTTTATTCTCATCTCTATCTTTATTCATTTGATATATACTTTTTTATTCTCATCTTTATTCATTTGATCTACTCTCTCTCTCCATTCCTCACATCTCTCTTCCAGGAAGAGTCTTTCTCTCCTCCACTGTCTCTCTCTCTCTCTCTCTTCTCTCCCATCTCTCTCTCTCACGCTCACTCACTTACCGTCTCTGATCTCTGTCGTGCTCACCGTCTCTCATGTCTCTCTCTCCCTCTCACTCACTCACCGTGAAAAAGCATCTGAAGCCATTGAAGAAGCATCTGAACACAAGCAGATCTATGATGATTGAAACAGATCTATAATGATTGAAGCACATCTAAATGTTTTTTTTATAGATATAGATCTGAAACAAACTGATCTATGATTTTTTTTGAAAAATCAGGATCTTTATATATATGGATTCAGATCTATTTTTTTTTTTTAACATATCTAAATGTTTTTTTTTTAGGATTTGATTGATATCTAGTACACATACAAACACTAAACATAATATCGGGTCTACTTG